GCAGGAGAACCTCCCTGACCTGCTGTCACACTCTTCTCTATGCAGCCCCACTGCCAGGAGGGGCAGGTCACAAGACACCGTTTTGAGCAGCCTGAGACGAGCTCCATCCTCTGTGTGTGGCTAACCCCAAATCCTCCCCCAGCTCCACAACTCACTTGTTAGCAGCAGGGATGGCATCTCCTCACCTGGGATTCACTGAGGTATCCAGCATCTCTCCCCTGGTCCAGACCTGTCTTTACAACCTAGCCAAAGAGCAAGGAAGACAGGCTGCTGTCAGCTCACCTCTGCCAGCAGCTCTGCTTTAAGGAGACAACTTGTTTAAGCTGCTCCTCCCCTTTTTCCTGAGTGCCCCCTCCCCAGTATTCCAGGCACCCTCTGGGTCCTGCCCGTGCTGTTCAAAGCAGAGCTGAAGTCCATTCTCTGTCCTGCTGGCACAGGATGGTCACAATGAGGAGGTTTCCACCAAGTTTTTTTTCACACATCCCTTGTGGTTTCATTTTTTTTTCTCCAGGACTGTGCTCCTGTTGTGACACTGCTCTCAGAGCCAGAGGGTGGCATTTGAAGGTTTTAGATGTTTTGGCAACAACTTAAATAGTGGAAAGTCATTTTAAAGTTACTTTTTTTTCATTCAGGATTCAGCCACAGACACTAAATAACACAATGTCTGTGTAACCCAGACAACTTCTGAAGTATTCTGTGGTTAGTGCTATGAAAACAGCAATTTTTATTTGCCTAGCTTCACAATGGGTTCATCCAACTCTTCAGAAACTCTGTGGAAACCTGGAAAAACTGCAGCTGAAAATTTCATGAGCAAAGTATTGCAGCTAAGCCTTCCCTCAGCTGGGATTCTTATAGAACCACCAGATCATTTTAGTTGGAAGGCACCTTTAAGGTCACTGAGTCCAACCACCCCCAGCCCTGCCAGGTCCCCACTGCCCCGTGTCCCTCACCCCACATCTCCACGGCTTGGGAACCCCTCCAGGGGTGGGGACTCCACCACTGCCCTGGGCAGCCTGGCACAGCCCTGGGCAACCCTCCAGGGCAAGAAATTGTTCCTCAGGGACAACTGAAACCTCCCCTGGGGCAACTTGAGGATGTTTCCTCTTGTCCTACTGATGTTCTTGACCTACCCCTCACTGGTACCAGTACCACATAAATCAGGGATCACATTCTGGGAAGCCTTTACCATGCTTGTTTGATACACCCCTCAGCTACCACTCATCAGGACTGCTCTGTGAGGATCAGGACGTGTGGCTTGACTCAGGAAGAACCACCTTCCCCTCTGTATGTTGCCACATTATCCCCCAGATCCACCTTCCCTCTGGTTTCTTGGGCCTCTCCATGGGCCTTACCTCAATGATCTTCAGTGGGGCAGGGTAGAGTCCTTTGGTTTGCTTCTGAACTTTGCTCTCCACTGTCTTGTAGACTTGCTGCCTCACAAAGGGAAGAGCCATGGCATAGTCTGTGATCTCTGCAAGGTGGCACAAAACAGGTCTCAGCACAGGGCTATCCACACAACCAGCCTTTAGCTGATTGACCTGGAAGCTCAGGAGTAGGGATGAGGATGTTGTGGACCCACAGTGGAAACCTGCACCTGAAACTCAGCTTCAGGCAGCAGGGTCTGCTCAGAAGGGTTTCCATGCCCTGTTCCACAGACAAGTCTCACTTAGGGCTGGATTATCCTCCTAAAACAAGTGGTGAGCCCAAGCTCTGGGGAGCAGAACCCCTGCAGAGATGTCATCATTTCTGAGCCCTGCTAACTGCCAAAGGGTGCTGCTGAGGGGGGTTAGTGGAGAGCAGACCCATGTGCCTCTTCCCACTTGATTACAGGAGCTTGGTGCAGAGCTTGCTACTAAAACTTTGAAGATGGGGAGTCCTCTGGAGGTGGCTGTTGACCCGAGGCCTGGCTCCCTTCTAGCACACCTCAGGAGCCATCACCTGCAGCTTTGGCCACACCACCAGAGCATCAGATCTGCAGAGAAATATTTTCTCCACCCACCCAACTGGCTCAAGAGACAACATGAAGGAGCTTTGTTTTGAAAGTGGAATTAAGCAGGAGCACAAGCACACCCCTGAGAAGCAAAACTGGACAACACTCACCACAGACCCCTTGGGATTTGGCCATGGTGCCCAGGGACTTACTCTGCATTAGCCCTTTTGATCTTCTGGCAGACACAGTCCTGTTGGCTAGTCCTCTGGCAAAGTCAATGGCCACCTCCTCCAAGTACTCAATGGTGCGTGCCTCTGGAGCCTTCAGGCCTGGCCCTGTGGACAGAAGAGACCTGAGGAAACAGGGCAGAGGGTTCTGCTGCTGGGTGATGGTGCAGAGAAGCAAGGATGAGACAGCAACATGATGCTCCTTGGCATTGCTAACACACCAATCCCCCCACCCCTCTGACTTCTCTTAGTTATGGACAATGATGGAGAGGCTCAGCAGGCAAGGATGTGGAGGCCCCAAGGCATTTAATGTTCATGGTGTTACACAGACATGCCAAAATGCCAGCTCCTGATGGGGGCAGACAGCAGGACACCACTCACAGAGCCATGGAACAGCTTTGGTTGGAAGGGGACATGGGAGACCATCCAGTCTGACCCACTGCTCAAAGCAGGGCCAAGTTCAAAGGTAAATGCAACTCTGGAATTAGATCAGGGCCATGTTCTGCTGGTCTCTCAACACCTCCAGTGATGGAGGCCCCACCACCTCTCTGGACCCATTTCAGTACCTGACCATCCTGTTGAAAACTGTGCCCTTCACTGCTCAACATTTTATTTTCAATAGTTGCAGGCACCCCTGTACCTCCACAGAACTTAAGTCTCCAGCCTCCCCTCCCTCTTGTTACATCTCTTCTTTCTTTGAGGGCAGGGATCATCTCTTGGCACTGGGGAGGCTGCACCTCAAATCCTGGGGTCAGTTTTGGGCCCCTCCCTCCCAGAAGGACCTTGAGGGGCTGGAGCGTGGCCAGAGAAGGGCAACGGAGCTGCTGGGGAAGGGTCTAGAGCCCAAGTGTGGGGAGGAGCAGCTGAGGGAGCTGGGGGTGCTGCGCCTGGAGCAAAGGAGGCTCAGGGGAGACCTTCTGGCTCTGCACCGCTCCTGACAGGAGCCTGGAGCCAGGGGGGGGCCGGGCTCTGCTCCCAAGGGACAACAGGACAAGAGGAAAGGGCCTCAAGTTGCCCCAGGGGAGGTTTCAGTTGTCCCTGAGGAACAATTTCTTGCCCTGGAGGGTTGCCGAGGGCTGTGCCAGGCTGCCCAGGGCAGTGGTGGAGTCCCCACCCCTGGAGGGGTTTCCAAGCCGTGGAGATGTGGGGTGAGGGACACGGGGCAGTGGGGACCTGGCAGGGCTGGGGGGTGGTTGGACTCCAGGATCTTAAAGGTCTCTTCCAACCAAAACCTTTCTCTGGTTCTGTGGCACAGCCAGTCTGCACAACTACATTTCAGTGACACTGTGGCTACTGAACAGACAGGTGACACTTTAGGAGGCACTGTGTCCATGAGCATTACCTGTGCTGAAGCTGGTGTCCAATGAAACCCCAAGCTTTGCCCTCAGGTGCAGGAAATCTCTCCCTTGCTTTAGCTAGTGCCACATGCAGCAGCAGGCTCCAGGGGGTGTGCCAGCCATCTGTGCTAACCTAAAGCTGTCCCACAAACAATGAAGCAAGCCCCCCCAACCCCAGTTTTAGCCATCTCTGAGGGTGCTTGCACCATTTCCAAGCACAGGATTCGTGTCATCAGGGCAGGACAGAGCCCAAGGCTGAAAAGGCAGTTGGGTAGGGCTGCTGGAGGCAAATACGAGTCATTAATGGCAGAGTTTTCCATTATCTGATTCATTAATTGATCCATTAAATCCATGATGCCCAGTGATTCAGCACAGGGCCACCACGAGGAGCCTGCAGCTAAACACCCAGCCTTGGGCCATCTCTCAAGGAGTGGAATGAGCCTGAGGAGGTTACAACTCTGGAGCCTTCCAGCTGGGCCACCTCACTAAAAACTGCTCCAACCACACCCCAATGCTGCATAGCCCTCAGATCTCCAGAAAACACTGCAGCAGACAACTACAGCCCAGCCCAGGAGACAGTTAAAGAACACAATCAAACCCTCTCCTCCTTCACCTCTCACTGCTCTCCACCAGAAGCTGATATCTTCAACTTCAAGGTGTCACCTCCCTCCATGGAAGATCCTGAAAGCAGACCTCAAATGCTGCTGCCTGCTGGAAAGTCTCTTGGCAAGAGTCTTCCAGAGCCAGTCTAGGGGGGGGAAAAACCCCAAACAAAACAACCTGTTTCATTTTACAGGCAACTCAGCCCAGAGCTGCTGCACAATCTACATCTCAGCAACAGCCAGGGGATTTTCAAGAATGTTTTGGTAAATTGAGAGCATTTGAAGGTTCTCAGCTCAAACGTCACCAGCTTCCAAGTTCTCTTCCCATCACATCAAGGTGACAAGGCTGAGAGCTTCAGCTTTAGTCACCTATGTGCTAGAAGATCTATGATTCTATGATTTAAGATGCAATTACCTGATTTCCCCTCTCCATTGAGTGTCTAATGCCAAAAAGGGCTGGACTGTGACACTACAGCTGCAGAAGAGCTGTTTATTTCTAAGTCTGAGCTACAAGAGCTACTCACAGAACGCCAGATTTGGTGGGGTTAGAAAGAACCTCTGGGGATCATCCCACCCCTGCTCCAGCAGCTCACCCCCAGCAGGGTGCCCAGGGGCACAGCCAGGAGGGTTTGGGATCTCTCCAGAGCAGGAGACTCCACAGCCTCTCTGGGCAGCCTGGGCCAGGCTCTGCCACCCTCCCAGCAGAGAAGTTTCTCCTCCTGCTCAGGTGGCACCTCCTGGGTTCCAGTTGGTGCCCGTTGCCCCTTGGCCTGTCCCTGGCACCACTGAGCAGAGTCTGGCCCCAGCCTCTTGCCCCCCGGGGCCCTTTAGCTCTTGCTCAGCACTGCTCAGATCCCCTCTGAGGCTTCTCTGCTCCAGCTCAGCAGCCCCAGGGCTCTCAGCCTGGCCTGGCACAGAGATGCTCCAGCCCCTCAGCAGCTTCACAACCTCCACTGGCCTCACTCCACTGGCTCCTTGTCTCTCTGAAACTAGGGAGCCCAGAACTGGGCTAAAGACTCCAGATGTGGCCTCCCTGGGGCAGAGGAGATGGGCAAGAGAACCTCCCTGACCTGCTGGCCACACTTTTCTTCATGCACCATAGGAGACCACTGGCCTTCTTGACTACAAGAGCCCATCACTGGCTCCTAGTGAACTTCCTGTCCATTAAGACCCCCACGTCTTCTCCATGGAGCTGCCTTCCAGTGGAGAACTTTCATCCAGACACAGTGGTCAAGCCCACACACGTGGGTTTCCTTTACTCGTGGTCACCTCTCAACATGTTGCAGCATCTTAACCCAGGAGCTCCAAGCTGTGGGCTCACATCTGTGGTGTTATATGAGAGACACACGCCAGAATTACATCTGGGCACAGTGCAAAACAGATCAAGGGAATGCTGTAGAGCTCCCTGCTGAAGCAGAGCTGACTGCACCCCATGAAACTGCCTCCTGATTAACACTGCCTCTCCTTCAAAGCCTTCTATCATCAGTTGAGGCATCACCAGAGAAAGCTGCTTTCCCCCAGACGTTGAGAAAGCCCAGCAGAGAGCCCAGGAGACAGCCCTCTGGCCCTGCCTGCTCTCTGAAGGAACAAGGAATGCCTCTGCTGTTTGCATCTCATTTGGGTTTTGTGTTCCTCCTACGTGCTGATCTGGTCTGAGCTAGGATTCCAAACAGCTCCTCAGAACGTTGAGGAGTATGTGTTGTATTAAGGAGACCTCACCCAGCTGAACTCTGGTGTGAGAGGCACAACAGACCCAGGGCTTCCCTCGGGTTCCTCAGGGAAGGCAGCAGCAATTTTCCTTTTGTTTCTTTCATTTTCTTCAAATTGAGGACCTAAGGGCCCCTGGGGTACTCTGGCTGTGCTCTGCCTGGGGAATCCAAGCTCAGCACCTTGCAAGCCTGTGGCAGTACCAGTTGGCACAGTGGTTTCCATTCTAGCTCCTGGCTGCAGCTCAGACCTCTCAGAGGGGACTGTGGTGGGTTTGTCCTCCTCCACTCAGTCACCTCCCAAGAAACCCCCCTCTAGAGAAGGAACAGCAGAAGTGAGAAACTCTTCACCAGCCCACCCAGCCCTCAGAAGTCTGCAGCTTGTGAGGAACTTCATCCAACTGCAATTCAGAGCACCTAAGCCGTGGGGCTTGGCTGCTTCTCAAGATCTTGTCACAGAGATTAACATCTGCAGGCTGCATAAATATAGCCATTGCTCATCTATTCTTACATTAGGGGCTGTAATCTGTCCCTCTGACTTGATAAACGAGGAATGCAGGTTCTTATCTGTATAATTAGCTTACACAAGGGAGCCAGCAGCCCAGCAGCCCTGCCCTCTGCATTTAACTGCTCCCTGGGCACTGGGCTTCAGCACAGCCTGACATTTCAAGGTCCCCATGCACATGCCTCTGAGGTGGGAAGGGAGATTGCAGCACAGGAGGCAGTTAGAGCTTTGCAGCCCACAGGTTTTGCCCCTGCTAGACTGGCTGGGGGCACCCACGGCCTCTCCACCCAGCGCAGTGAGATGGAGAGCTCCACGGGCAGGCAGCACCTCCAGACACCTGAGGGGCACCACGACTGACCTAGGGGCTCCACCAGCTGGTCAACCAGCCCCATCTTCTTGGCTCTGTCAGCACGGATGTTCCTGCCTGTCAGCATCATGTCGAAGGCAGCAGGGAGCCCCACCTGGAAGGGCAGAAAGGGGAGGTCAGAGGGGGACAGTGCTGCGCGGCAGACGGGGCTGTCGAGGGAACTTTCTCCTCTCACTTACCATCTTGGGCAGCCTCTGAGTGCCCCCTGCCCCTGGCAGGAGACCCAGTAACACTTCAGGTGTTCCCAAGACAGTTTTCCTGTCCTTTGTTGCTATTCTGTACTGACAGGCGATGGCAAGCTTAAAAAAAAGGAAGAGAAAATGAAAGGTTTCCCTGTGAAAGGCCACAGAAGAACTGGGCATCCACCACAACAGTCTCTTCCACACGCTGCCTCAGCTTTCCTCCCAATGCTTCCCCAAATCCTGAATTCAACTGCTCAAATTCCCTCTGTGCTCACTGTTGGCTTCTCCCAGCAAGTGGAGGGCAGGCAGGTGCCAGCAAGTGGCTACAACACACACATGGAACTCCCCAAGTGAGCTGAGCTGCTCTGCAGTCTCACCCAGACCATCAGGGGCCAAATCCACTCCCTGCACTGAGAGCACTCTCCTGTTTACAGAGCAGCCCTGGCATCTGGTTTATCACTGCATCACCCAGCCCAGATTTGTCACCACAGCACTGTGACTGCCTGAGAAATCAGCACAGAACTGAGGAGGCTCCTCTCCCACAGGGTTGTTGTGTTTTAGGGACAACTTTGCTCCAGGGATTACTACAGAGTCTTTCGATTTACAGAATTCCTACATGGAGGCTGCAAAGCCAATAGGGCACCCAGCTGAAGGGAAGGCCTGGGGTGGAGCCTGGCCACCTTCCCCACGCTCAGCCCCCTCACAACAACCTTTCAAAGTTGCTGGGAGACAAGGCTCAGTTGATGTGAGAAGCAGGAATTTCCAGCCTGGACTCTGCCAGCAGCATTTATCCAGATCCAGCTCTGCTTTGCCTGGGGACGCTCTCCTCCGACTCTTCTCCTGGCCCACACACACTCACATCTGATCAGCTCTCTTCTGACAGGAGCAGCAAAATCAGCGTGGCAGAGCCCTGAAGCAACAACCAAGCCATTAATTTGCCACCAACTGATCTGAATGGATGCCACGAAGCCACGCCAGGTCTCAAACCCCCCTCACACTGAGCAGTCCTGCGGGCAGCGTCTGCACCGTTTGGAGAAGCGACGCTATCAAACCCCACTCCTGCCTCTCAGACCTGGAATTGCTCAGTACCTCCAGTCCTCCTCCCAGGCAGGAGCCACTGATGGCAGCAACTATGGGCTTTGGAGATTGCTCAAGTTTTTCTAGCATCTTCTGTCCTTCCTGAGAGAGCTGAGTCACTTCCTGAGACTTCTTGCAGGCTTCGATCATGCTGCAGTGAAGCAGAAAGGCTCATCAGGATGGGGAGAGCACTGAGAGAACAGCAGGGAAATGAGAGTGCTTCAGGGAGGCTTTCCCACAGAGCTGCGGGGACTGACAGACAGGCAGGAGCTATTGAATCCCCTGGTTTTGGGCTAACAGACGACACGGGGTGACTACTAAATCCCCCGGGTGACGTCACTGCCCGCTGGCAGCCGCCCGCGCCCGCAGGCACTGAATGAGCTTCCTTGTGTCAGAGCTTTGAGAGCTTTGGGAGAGAGGAGGAAGGGTCACGGGAAGCCTCAAAGCACTTGCCAGGAAGGGTGGAGGGGAGAACATTTTTTAGAGGAGCAGCTGGCCAGGGCTCTGATGTGAGAGCCTCCCTGGGCCAGTTCTTCTCACGGGGGCCAGCGGTGTTTGCTGGGCAGGAGGGATTTGGGAGGCTCAGAGGGCTGAGACCAGCAGAGCACAAAACCATGTCCCCAGGTGCCACGTCCACACCCTTCCAGGGCTGGGGACTCCAGCACCTCCCTGGGCAGCCAATGCCTCACCACTCTGCCAGGAGAGAAATTCCTCTTGATACCAAATCAAAACCTCCCCTGGTGTAACAACCCTGTTTCCTATCACTAGTTACTTGGGAGAAGAGAACTTGTCTTTTACCTTCTTTCCTCACAGCATTCTGGCTTTCAATGCCTTTAAATAACTATTTTGTCCTGCCCAATGTCAGGATGAGGAGCAGACAGCACTGCAGGTCCTACTGAGAGCACCCACACGGGCTGTCTCACCCCCTGCACACGTTACCCAACGCCCCATCTCCTGGGAGGCTGCTCAGATGCTCCACATGGCAGAGCTCCAAATCCCGCCTGATCCCACGCTGGCCCACTGCCAGGACCTCAAACCCAGCTTAAACCAAGTCCTGCATGTAAATGATCTGCTCTTATTGTGTCCCAGCCCAAAGGACGACGCCCTCCCTGCAGCCAGGATGAGTCTCCTTGGCGAAGCTCCAGCACGCAGGAAGAGGCAACCAAGCGATCATGAGGAGAGGCTGAGGGACCTGTGGGGGTTCAGTGTGGAGAAGAGGAGGCTCAGGGGAGACCCTATTGCTCTCAACAACTCCCTGACAGGACACTGGAGCCAGGGGGAGTTGGGCTCTGCTCCCAAGGAACCAGTGACAGGATGAGGGGCAATGGGCTGAAGTTGCCCCAGGGGAGGTTTTGGTTGGATCTGAGGCAGAATTTCTCTCCTGGCAGAGTGGTGAGGCCTTGGCCCAGGCTGCCCAGGGGGGTGCTGGAGTCCCCAGCCCTGGAGGGGCTCCAAAAATGTGTGGACATGGAACCTGGGGACATGGTTTAGTGGTGATGGGAGTGTTGGGTTGATGGTTGGACTGGATGACCTTGGAGGTCTTTTCCAACCCTCATGATTCCATGACTCTATAAGTGTTACAGCCAAATGGGGTTTGAACAACTCATCACTTTCCTCTTTGTCAGGATCCTAACTTCACCTGAGCACGTTGGGCATCCTGCACAGACAGATTTCATTCCCAGCCCCTGCCTCAACCCAGGGAGACGTCAGTGACCAACTGCTCAGACTCCAGAGAGAGCTCCACCAGCCCCTGTACTTACTTGATATCTGCTCCAGCAATGAAGGAGCCTGGCTTTGAAGAGATGAGGACAGCACTTCTGACAGCCTCGTTGGCCCAGATCTCATTCATCACCTCCGTAAACTCTGAGCTCAGTTGTTTGGAGAGAGTGTTCACCTGAAAGCAGCAAACAAGCATTGGGAAGAGGGAGACAGGAGAATTTAACCTCAGATTAACTACTGGACTCAAATGATTTTAGCATCAGAAAACTTGCACAGAAGATTGACCAAAAAACCACAAAGTAAATGGTAGGTCTGAACAGATTTTCCAAGCCAGGAGCAGCAGCTCTACAGCCTTTCAAGATTTGCCTACTGGAGAAAAACAAAAACCAGACTACACCATCCAGGAATCTGCCCAACAGTCAGACCATTGCTTGGCACAATTCTACCACTTTTGAGGCACTCAAATGGAGCCCAGATCTGCTCTGCATTAATTCACCCTGTGTCATAATGCAGGGAGAGAAAGCCTCCAAGGTGAAACCCTGCAGCAGCTCATCTGGGATTAAGAATTTCCTCCTCAGCCTCACCAGCAGGGGGTCTGTGACCTCAAACATAGATTTTATGGACTTCTAATTTATGGGGTTTTTTTTTTATCTACAGATACTCTCCTTAACTCTCAGACCCCAGAACTCCAGCATATCTTGTGCCAGTGAGAGAGCCACACTCACTCAGTACCCACAAAATACTCCCGTGAGGCGTTTTTGGTCTCATTAAAAGCCCAAATGCTCATTTTCCTATTGCTGCTTTCCTCTCAGCTTTGAAAGGCTGCAGGTTAGGAAGGTTCTGGGTCTGCAGTGTGACTTTTGAAGGCCTCCTCCACACGCTGGCTCCTCTGCTGTCCCCCCGACACGCCCGTGGTGGGTACCTTGGAGTTGGGGGTGTGGAAGCGTACGACAGCGACGTCCCCTTTGATGTCATAGCTCACGTGGGTTCGAGCTGGGAAGGAGCAGAAAGGGGTTAGCAGCTCAGGGGAGCTGAAGAAAGAACAGGAAAGGGCACAGGAAAGTCTGACACTTACTCTGAAGAGCAGTGGAGGTGGAGATGTTACGGCAGGTGTAACCTAGGGAGAAGATGTTGCAGATGTTAAAGGAGCTCTCGGGAGTTTCAGTTTGATTCTCCTTCATTAACACATCCCCCCCCTTCCCCTCCTCCCCAGCTCCTCCTCTCCTGGCCTGGTCCAGCAGATCCCACGTTACCCAAGTGCTGTCACAGCACAGATTCCCCACGGCAGCCACCCAAACAGAGCAGGGAAAGCCCTGAAATCAAAGACTCCTCCCCCAGGAGCTGAGCAGAGCCGAAGCGGGTGGCACGTGGGGGAGTTTCCCCACAACTCAACCCTTCTTCGTGGGCTCACACAGAGATCTTGCTGCATTTTGGGGAGTTTCGAGCCTGAAATTGAACTTCTCTGCAAATCCCATGCAGACATCCTGAAGTAGCTCTGCCAAACCACACCCTTGTGCCAGCAAATGTTGCCAGCCCGAGCATTCCTCCCCACATCTTGGGGTACACATCTGGCCAGCCACAGCAGCACCACACAGAATATTCACTCGTGCCTCCACCTAGCAGCAAAACACTTGCTCCACCTCTGCTGATGACACACAGAATGAACTCGACTTGTTTCAGAGGGCTCTGAAAACTCAAGACCACAGCATGAATGAGTTCTGGCCACGGGCCAAATGCCACTTTTCTGACTCATAAATCCCAGAGCTCCTTTTTGCCACCGAGAAGTCGTGACTTGGTCTGCTGATCTCTCAGTGCATGAATGAATCTCAGTCCCACTCAGGCAGCCTGGAGCTTGAGGATCCTCTGACACAGATCGAGGTGGAATCCCTGCCAAAGCTGCTGCAAGTCTGAAATCTAGCAGAGGTGTGATTTTGGAGATGAGGTGCTGAGGGACATGGGTGACCTGGAAGTGCTGGACCTGATGAGCTTACAGCTCTTCTCCAACCCAAACAATTCCATGATTCCTGAGCACCACCAAGGGGAGCACAGCCAGGAGGCAGGGCAGGTTTACTGCCCAGTGCTGCTAAAATGTTGTTGGAAGCAAAAAGCACAAAATAACTGAAAATGGCAAAGCTCAACGCTGCTCCCAAACACGTGGTGACAGAGCAAACACAGGGGCTGGGTGAGGATCTGGTGGTCTGGGGCACTGAGGAGGAAATGTGGAGCCCCACCTATCTCAGGGCAGTTATCTCCTTGCAGAATTGACCAAGGTTTTGTGCTGACCACATGAACTTTTGGCTGCAGTCCCACCCCCACACTTTGGACAACAAGCATGAGCAAGGTATCATAATCAAATATCTCAAAAACAAAATATCCTCCCTTTTCAGACCCAATTTGTGGGATGAGAATTCACCACTGAGCCGTAGGGACAGACTGACTGGTTTTGTCCCCCTTACTCCTCCCAGAGGGGAAAAATTTTGGTAAGGTTTGCAGCCTTGGCTATGCTAAGTCTGTTTTTCCCCAGGAGATTGTTATTGTCACTTCAATTCCATCTCAGAGCTCTGGAGCTGGTCTGCTGGAAGGGGATTTCTCTCTCACCAAATGGATTTCCTACCCAAATTATCCCTTACCAAAATTTATCCTCTCCCTTCACGCAACACATGTTCAGGAGTGAAACATTCCCACTCCCAGCAGCA